TTGGTAATAACTGCACAAGATTGTGAAACAAAAACAATAAATAGGAACAATCAAGATGCCTAAGCGGCGGCACTCTTGATTCCAAAGTTGAGCTTTCACCGGGAACGGACCCGTCAACAGATAAGCAGACGAAAAAGGAAGAAACACGTTCGTCTCCTTTAGAACAGATTTTTATTAAACGAGGGCGTCCGTCAGTTTCTAAGTTTCAAGTAAAAGGGCGTAATCGTTCACATATTTTGGTAAAATCACTTTTTATCGCGATTATCTCGCCCGACACCAGCCTTTCGTGCGGCGTTTCCCGCGATTTTGCGTTCAGTGCGCCACCTGGGGAGCGGCGTCGCGAATCAGATAGCAGACGGCGAACGGGCGGGTATAGGCCATAGGAAATGCACGTTTGCCATTTTTGTTATCTTTCTAATAATTCGCTACTCCCGAGCTCACGTCTGAAAAAAAATAAGCAAAAAACTTTGGAATAAACGACGTTCGTGTGCCCCATTTCAGGTATGTACGTTTGAAATTCGATTTTTGCTAGGCGTGCGAAGTGTGAAAATTTTTACGGCCGCACCCTGTATATGTTGTACAGTGTCGTGATCGACTCCAGGAGCAATGTCTGGTAGATACTGCTTGACGATCTGCCATATTCAGCATATTTTGTGACCGCTAAAACGCTACGAATGCTATACATGCCTTGATTAAAAAAAAACTAGCCTTGCGCATGTCACTGGTGATAAGATGTAACGGAGCCCGAAAGGAGCACTCCTTTCTTAGATGGTGCACACGCCCGAACTAACTTCTCGTGTTTAGCCCCCCCACGTCTTCTCTAAGCTATGTGAATCAGAAGTATACAGCATAAACTTCAAAACAACAGTGCTTTTTTTGCAGATCGCGCAAAATCTCAACCTATGCACAGCTTCAATGTTTACAAACCCACACGCAGCTCAGAGTGCGATCCCCAAAGCCCAGCACGCGTGCGTTCGTCGCCTCGGAAAGTGAGCAAAGCGCGCTCCGTACAAACAAATGCTCAAAATGGCAAAAAAAAAAAAAAAAAAAAAAAAAAAAAGCTATCAAAACTTGATTTTGTTTTTAAATTTGTTCATGAAAGTTCATGCTATTTCTAGCAACAGTACGACCTTCAGAGGTAAACATCGACTGAATTGGCTGTGATGCATCGGAGGTAAAACAATTCACAACTTGCAGCAGACCCTGTACACGGTAACATTGAATTATGCCTTCAAAAAAGCGCTCTACCGAATGAGGCATGATATTTTCTTTTGAGAACGTTCAAAATATGAAACAAGGAAAGAATTCCTTTGATCTAATGAAAAGTGAGTCATCAAATTGTTTTCTTTGCGCAGGCGTTAATCACTCTAAATTAAACATGGGTAAAATAAAATACGTCGTGACAGAGCTGGGGTTTTATTCTCAGCAACTTTTTATTTTTACTGAATTTTAGTTGAATTTGAAAAAAATGCGTACTCAAAAGAAGAACACAATCCTTAGAGGAAAAGCAGCGGGAAGAATCAACATTAAAGCAGCGCGCTAAACTAGACCAGCCAGTTCACGTCATAAATAAAAAGGTTGTCCCGAATTCTCGTCATTAAGAATACACACAAAAACTACATCGCCATTGAAACGTGTGATGCCTATTACTACAATCCGGCAACAAATTTACGCGAACGCGGAGCGTGGTTGAATATGAACTAATACTCAAGAAACATTGCCCCCGTCCCACGAATGATATTGGGATCTGCTGCAAAAATATATAATCGGATGCCGCCCTTTTACGCGCAGTATTCGATTAGAGTAACTCGTAGCAAATGACTATTAATACTAACAAATGTAGAGCTAGTTGGTCTTCTCATGTCATGGGAGCACGTCCCGATCGTTATCTAAACACATACCTTAAACGCTAACTTTATGATTGGATACCTGAAACAAAATGTTACCTCAGCCCCGATGTCACTAAACTAGCAAAAAACGCTAGCTAGATCTAAGCTTGAATTTACAGTATCACTCTCGAACTGCGGCAAAAACTACTGACGAACCTTGAAGTTCAGCAAAATCGTACAGCACGTTAAGTACATCTTTAAAATCCGCATACATCATTGTGAAACGTCCGTCTACATCGACTCGTTCATAACAAGAACGTCAACTGAATGAAATCACCTTCCAGCACCTCAGGTAAAAATACCATAGATTGATTGATTTATAGATGCGGTAACTAATCACTAATCCTCCGGCACGTAATGTAAGTAAAGAGCGCGACCCTGTTAAAATCGATGTCCGATTTTAGGTGCTTTCGCCTTTGTTTTTATTTATTTATTTATTTACATACCCTCAAGGCCTTGGGGGCGTTACAAAGGGGAGTGAGTGAAAAAAAAAAGTAATAGAAGACATGATAGGTCACGGGTCACTTTCGCAAAAATAATTAGTAACAGCCCTTTTAAACACATCTATCGAGGGTAATAATATTACTGACTTCGGAAGGTGGTTCCACTTTGATGATGTCCTATACTTTGATGTTCTTCTTAAAGAATCTAAGTTCTGTTATCAAAACATCTAATGCGAAGTAATCGGATTATGTCGAATCTGACCGCTCAAAACCAAGAATTAAAAGTTATCTCTTTGCGTAAGCTGGAATGAAAGCACCGATGTAGTGGGCCTGAAATGTGTGAAAAATCCACTCCCCCCCGTTCACCATCATTATTTTCGCAGCTCTGATTCATGGCTTGCAATGATCGCCTCATAAATATTTTTGTTTCATCGCTCCGAATCGTTTAGCGGAATAGCTTCAACAAAATGGTGCAGAAGGCACTTTGATTTTAGTATACGCGTTTCAATGCTAATACCAACAATCTCTCCTAAAATCACTTAAAATGGCTAATCTAAGACTACACGCGGAACCATTGAAAAACATCAAATCTTGTATGTCTACTAGGTAGCAACGCAATTGCTTAGTTTACGCGTTTCACATCGAGGACGTGTTTTTGCGTGCTTACACCGAGGCCCACACTGAACAAATGACGAATAATTCTGGCAACTACAGTTACAGTTACTTCGCTTTCATTGTAACCTGTGAGGTACCAAATTTTTAAAAGTATTCATAAACGTGTTTGGACCTAATAGTTCTACAGCCTCGGAAAAAAAAAAAATAAAGACGTGCAACGATATTGCCACTGGGGTGGCATTTTTATGGGAACTTGACACCAACCGCTATTTTGATTGGCCGTTTTACTGATGAAACAAAATAAAGATTTATTACTATTAAATGTTTAATGAAATACAGATAACCGCCGCCCATACCGCACTACAGTCCAGTATGCATTCAGACGCCTCCACGAGAGTACTTGCCAATTGCACGTCAGCTTTGGATTAGACCTACCTACTTTCGTGCTCTACTGGTATTTAGAAAGCGCTGGATTCGGTTCTGGATAGTTCGGGCCGCAGCCGCAGCGTCAGTTCGGGCCGTTCGGGCCGCAGCCGCAGCGTCAAAAAACCGCTGTCAGCAATCATACTGAGGTATGATTGCTGACAGCGTTACCCTTGCCATGTTGGATTCACGTTGCAGAAGCGGTTTTCGTTGTTTTCCTTAGGAGTGCTACAGCCAATTGAGCGTCGGGTTTTATAGACGAATGCGTGTCATGAGCAACTCATCAGTGCGTGGCGCAGCTGGCAGCACGGCGCACTCGCATGCCCTCCACGTTTCCTCAAAATCTAGTTTCTTCGCACGCGCAGTACCCTCAGCGGGCGATGGTAAAATCCCCCTGTTCGAAAAGATCTTATTGGTTGCGGGATGTGGGAGGGCTTCAAAGTGTAGTTCAAATAATATTTTGTGATAATTTAACAGTCACAATATCATGCTTTAAATAATAAACGTAAACACGAGTCTTCATCCTTTCGAAACTTTCGAAACTACAGCAGTTGCTCAACTCTTGTCGAGCCGACACCGTGTTGTTTCCGCTACTTGGAGACTTGTTGTCGCTTCTCTGCAGCTATCTTAAAATCACCGCTAAATCAAACACATAGTCCAGGGATCGCCACACACACGTGTTAAAATAACCACAAAAAAATAACTGAGGACAGTAGATGGTTCCTTGTTTTTCTCGTTGCCCCACGGACTCCCGATGTCATCAGCGAGAAGGCTCGGTGAGGTTTGGTATGGGGTAGGTATACTTTATATACAGGGAATCACGATACAGCAACTTTTACGAAGCAGGAAGGGAACTTTCTGGCCGCCCCGCGGACCCTCTCCCCGGCTACTCGAGGTGAGGCCTGCCCACGTAGCTCCTGACAAGAACCCCTTTTCCGGCCAAGACAACGCTTAAATACCAGCGCATACGCGCTGCTTCCAATCCCCCCAAATGAAAAAAAACATAGAAAAAAGCTCCGAACACTGACATCACTTTTCTCCAGCGCCATTCGTCAAAACTGACATCATTTCTTCAGAGGCCTTGCTATTTGCCGAAACTGACATCACTCCTTCAGAGGCTTTGCCATTCGTCGGTTCTGATGTCAGGTCTTGCGCAACTCTCATACAACCTTGGCATTCCGGTATGCAATGCTGCTCTTCCATCCATTGGAGCACGGAGAGGAAACATGAGACCCCGGCCAGCTTCCCGCAAAGGGCAATCTCTTTAGGGATACATGAGTCACGAATGCGAAGGTGGCGGCGCTCGGCAACATATATCACGGAGAGCACGTCGAGAAAGCGATAAGCAATAACGCCAGACCTTACACCTCCCTTCCAAAATCCATTAATCTAAACCAAGATTAGTTGGACTACAAACATAAAACGAGTACCGGCGTCATTATAACAAACACCACAAAATTAAGTCATGCACACTTCAAGGGTTACGCGAAAGAAAGGGGTATGAAAACACCATTGAACACTCAACGAGTCCACGAGACAATGTTCATTCCCTCCACGAGAGTTCGTATTGGCACACAAAAGTCACAGCACTTTTCGTGTGGTCCGCGAAGCCACATTCCACGCCTGCTTGCTATGGTGTTTGAGCCGGCAATGCTTCCCAGCAACCGTTAGGAAGCCTAGATAGGGCATCCGCATTTGTATGGGTGCTGCCCTTGTGGTGACGGATTATCGCGTTGTAACGCTGTAGCGTTAAGGCCCAACGTGTGAGTTTTGCGCCCTGGGGCACGCTGCTCGTAAGGTACCAGAGCGGGTTATGGTCGGTAACGACGTTTACCTGGGTGCCGAAGACCCACGTCTCAAACTTCTTTAATCCCCAAATCACCCCGAAGGCTTCGCGTTCGATCGTTGCCCACCGCGTTTGCGTTGGCGTAAACCGATGACTAGCTAAGGCGATCGGAATTTCGGAGCCGTTGGCGGCTATTCGTGCTAAACAGGCACCGACGGCCACCATCGAGGCATCAGTGTAGAGCACATACGGCTTTCCCGGGTCAGGGGTAGCCAGCGACACGGCTTCGCAGAGGGCTTGCTTGAGGGCTTTAAATGCCTCGTGCGCTTCAGGAGGCCAAGGTATCTGAGTAGGCACCCCTTTTCCGGATAGCTGCGTCAGCGGCCGAGCTATCTCTTCAAAGTTAGGAACGTAGCTACGGTAATAGCCACAGAGGCCGAGGGCGCTCCTCACCTCTTTCTTTGTCAGAGGCACCTGGAGTCCCTCAATGGCCGCCACTTTCTCGGGATCTGGACCATGCCTCCCAAAACCTACAATATGCCCCAGATAGCGAATAGAAGGCCTAGCCACCTGACACTTTTCAAGGTTTGCATGCAAGCCTGCCGCCTGTAATGCTGTGAACACCCTGTGTAGGTGCTCAACGTGTTGTTCTAGCGACGTACTGAACACAGCTATGTCGTCTAGATAGGCGCACGCGTAGTCTTCGTGACCGGCCAGCACGTAATTCATATTTCTCTGGAAAGTCGCCGCCACGTTTTTGAGGCCGAAAGGCATCACCCTCCATGCAAACTGACCACGGTGCGAGATGAACGCCGTACAAAGCTAAGAATCCTCGGCCAATGGCACCTGCCAGTAACTGCGTCGCAGGTCTATGAGCGTGATGAACTTGGCCGCCCCCACGCGCATGATGAGTTCCTGTGGGTGTCCCATAGGGAAGGCATCTGTCTCCGACACTGCATTGAGCGCGCGAAAATCGATGCACAAGCGCACCGACCCATCTTTCTTTGGCACGCATACGATCGGGTGCGCGAAGGCGCTTTCACATCGGTATATCAAACCTAGCTCCAGAAGCTCTCTGATCTGTTCAGTAACCTCCCCCTTTAAAGGGGTACTCCACCGGTTTTTCATTGTCTCCGATTTGCTTGAAATTTTGCTAAACTAACCAACAAACATTGCTAAAATAGTATCCCAAATATTAGGTCAAAATATTGTTTTTTCGCGAAGTTATTGACTTTACAGTTTTGGTCTTCACCATGTTTTTCAAACTGAAAGTCTCTACTGGCAACAACAACAAAGTGACGTCAGTGGAAGGCAGGGGTTAACTTTTTGGACTACAGAAGTTGTTCCCAACGGATTTGAAGCAGTTTCTTGGTGTCAAATGAGTGCTTTGGAAGCTCGCTCCCGTATCCGCGCTCCAGCACGGAACAAATGATTGGCATATTCTATTTTTAGACTAGCTGCTTGACTGGCAAGCCTGCGTGCTATTGACGTCACGGCACTGAAAAGTGCGCGAATATTTGGATATTGGTTTTTGCACCATTTTCATTTGCCGATTTCACAATACCTATTATGAATTTCGCGATGCTAAATAACATACCGGAAAGGCTAAAGGCCGGGGAGTCAGAAAATATAGTTAGTTGAGGTAGCTAAAAAACTCGGTGGTGTTAGGCGTCAGGGATCCTATAGGGGCGGCCGCGCTTTGGGCTAGCGCCTTCGATGAGCTTCACGCGGTGTTCCCCCACTCGCGCGATACCCGGCTGGCCCGAGAAGAGCGCCTGGTGCTGGCCGAACGCAGCACCTATACGGGCAGCTGTTTCTTCATCGATGTGCGCGGTCTTTTCATGATCGAGATTTGGACGCACCTGACCAGGCTCGGCTGCTCGCGGAGTGTATTCTACCTCCCCGAAGTCACAGCTATCGTGCAACATAACGCTCACCGATGCAACTTCGCAAACGTAGGGGCGCAGTTTGTTCGGGTGCACTAGCTTGCGGCGGCCATCGCGCGTCTGCACGTAGTACGAGTGCTCACGATACCTTTCCGTTACTGTGCACGGCCCCAGCCACGTCGGGTACATTTTCCTTGCGCGGTTTGTGTCAAAGACGAGGACCGCGTTGCACTCGTTAAACACCTTTAACATGGCGCGTTTGTTGTAGTGCGACGCGTACGCCTCCTGTTGTTTGCTTGTGGTGAGCTCCGCGGCGTCCGCTGCGAGCTCTAGTTGTGTTTTCAATTTCTCTAAATAGTCCGCGGGAGCGTCCGCTAACTCCGCTGGGAACTCAATATCGCCCGCCCAGCTTCTCCCGAGGATAGCGAGAGGCCCGACTGGGTCTCTACCGTAAAGCATCCGGAAAGGCGACACTCCCGTTGTGTCGTGGGGGACCTCTCGGTAGGCCCACAGCAAGAAGGGGACGAATCGATCCCTGTCTCAGGTGTCTCTCTCGATTACGTGAAACAACATATTTTTGAATGCACGGTTCCACCTTTCCACGGACCCGTTACTTTCCGGGTGGTCAGGAGTCGAGAACCGTGGGGTGCAACCCAGTCTCGCGAGAAACTCGCTAGTAAGTGCAGCTGTGAAATTTGTTCCGGAGTCCGAACACACTACTTCTGGTGCTCCTTTCCTGGTGAACACGGTCAGCAGCGCATCACATGTCGCCTTGGCTGACAGTGACTTTAGGCAAACCACCTCTGGCCAGCGTGTGCACAAGTCGATGACACACAATGCATAGCGGTGCCCTCTGTCTGAAGGTGGGTCGATAGGGCCGATCACGTCGATGTTGACTTTCTGAAATGGGAACTTCGGGCGCGCGAGCGTTGCTATCGGCACCCTATCGGACCGCCGTCTGTCTGATCGAACCTGACAACTGTGACATCCGTTGCAACGGTCGCGAATGTTTTCCTCCATGCCTGGCCAGTAAAAACTGTACTTAATGCGCGCTATTGTTTTGCGGAAGCCGAGATGGCCGCCCCAGTAGGACTCATGGGCCAGGCGAAGCACAGTGCTGCGGCGCGACTCGGGTAGTAATAACTGCAGCTCTTTCTGGCCAAGTACTTGATCTTTATGGTACAGCAATCCGTCTACTATTGACATGCCCGCTTTGCCACCTTTTGCGTTTTGCCAAGCCCGTCGTAATGACTCGTCATCTCGCTGTTCATTACGGAACTTTCGCGCGTCACTGGTTTGCATCACCTCAGTCTCAAGATTCGGCTCCTCTCGCTCTTTTCCGGGGATATCAGGCGGTAGGGGCACATCGTTTGAAACCGTGTTGGAATTCGGTGGCTCGAACAGGTTCTTCTGTTCTTGTCCCTGCTCTCCCTGCTGGCCCCGTTTCCTTACTACTTGTATCTGAACCTCGTCATCCTCCTCATTATACGCGTGCAACTGTTCCCATGCTTCCGCGGAGATCAGGCAGTCAGTGTGTGTGAGCCGATCCGTAAGAGCGCACACGACCTGCGTCGCGTCACCCACATCGTGAATCAAGGATGCCCCGCGGTAAAGTGCGAGTGGTACCACGGCGAGCTTAGCTTCTACCTTCTCGCCAAATGCGGACACGAGTTCTATACTCCTATGCGGCTTTAGTAGCTCCTCCGGCACGCTACTCTCACGGACTACGGTGATGTCTGCTCCGGTGTCGACAATTGCATCAATTACCTTGCCTCGGCAGCGAACTTTGACGCTCCCGAGCTTTGGATGTTCCAAGCTGCGGCTTTCAGCTGCGATACGTCCCATTAATCTCTCTCCGCGTGGTCTTTCGTCACTTTTTAACCCCCTCGCCTCCCGAGCGAACGGGCATTGAGCCACGTAATGGCTCGTGCTTCCGCACTGGAAGCATTCGCTCGGCCGAGACGCTTTCTTAACAACCGAGGGCGGCCTGGTCGTCTCGGGTTTTTCTTCCCGAGCTGTAACGCTCCCGGTTGTTTTTGATGCGCTCGGTATTACCCCTTGGTTGGTACCCTTTAACTCTGCCCTTTTAGCGAGGTTTATATTCGCGCACGCACTGCCCTCGCCCGCCGCTTCCTCATAGGTCTGCAGCAGCCGAGCCAGTTCGTCTGCTTTTAACCATTCTTCCCCCTCCCGTAGCTTAACGTACTTGGCGGCTCCTTCTGCTAAACCCGACTTCAACTGGTCGGCGACTAGCAGTTCGAGAAGATTCTTAAAGAAGGAGACGCCGCGGGCCTCCACATAGAAGTTAATGTAACTCTGTAGACGAGTCGCAAACGTTTTCCAGGTCTCCCCTTTTCGCTTGGTCGCGGCAAGAAACCGCCTTTGGTATTCGGCTGCTGACAGCTTTAACTCGTCGAGAACTACTCCCTTGAGTATATCGTAATCCCTGTGTTCCGCAGGGGCTAGTCGCGTCGACAAGTATGCAACCCGCTCAGCGATCATCGGGAGGACGATCTGCCCCCCCAGCGCCTTGGGAACGTCGTACGCTCGCAGCGAGCTCTCCACTGACTCAAACCAAATAGGCACCTCGCCGTCGGTTGGGAATTTCGGAAAGGCACCTGCTAGTAACTTGGAGTAATATCTGAGTCCCATCTGGCCGCTCGAAGGTTCCGCCTCGCTCGCTTCGTCACGCCTCTGCGTCGCGGTGTCCCGTCGAACCCGAGCGAGCTCGAGTTCAAGTTCTAGAGCGCGTCGGCGCTCTTCTGCTAGCTTCAGGTTATACTCCATCTCTTTTTCCGAGAGAGATGAGTGTGGCACGTTACCACCATCCCTGCCGCCTTTCCCGCTCTCGTTCATGTCTCTCCAATGTTTATCCGCGTTAAGGTGCGGGTATCTGGTCTTCATATAATTGGGCCGGCTCGAGCAACACAACGCACAAGAGAGGAATGTGAACCAAGGGACTCACTCGGATGCTTGTGTGTGCGCCTGGTCGCTCGTCGCCTGAAGCCGACGTCCTCGCTGCAGAAGTCTGATGGTGCACTCCGCGCCCAATTCTTGGTCTCTGAGGCATGACAATGGCGGTGCCTGGCCGCCTGTCGGGTCGATGTTTTCTTCCCGGTGGCCTGCCAGCGGTCGCTCCTTGTCTGTGCGTCGACGGTTACTGCTTGGCGTCCCCTTCGTTCCGGAAATGCCGCAGATCTCTCCTTCGTAGCCTTTCTTGTCCCAGTCTTGACCTCGTGTCGTTTCTGCGGACGGCCAGTGAAAGAAACTCGATGATCTGTCTCTTCATGTCCGTTGCTGAAACGCCGCCTTTGGCGTCCTGCGAGGGTTTCCTGTCGTCTTGTTGCCGTCGTCGATTCCTCCGTGGTGCTTCGTGCTGTCGACTGCGCCAGTAGATGGTTCTTTGTTCTTCTCGATGCGCCACGGACTCCCGATGTCATCAGCGAGAAGGCTTAGTGAGGTTTGGTATGGGGTAGGTATACTTTATATAGAGGGAATCACGATACAGCAACTTTTACGAAGCAGGAAGGGAACTTTCTGGCCGCCCCGCGGACCCTCTCCGCGGCTACTCGAGGTGAGGCTTGCCCACCTAGCTCCAGACAAGAACCCCTTTTCCAGCCAAGACAACGCTTAAATACCAGCGCATACGCGCTGCTTACAATCCCCCCAAATGAAAGAACATAGAAAAAAGCTCCGAACACTGACATCACTTTTCTCCAGCGCCATTCGTCAAAACTGACATCATTTCTTCAGAGGCCTTGCTATTTGCCGAAACTGACATTACTCCTTCAGAGGCTTTGCCATTCGTCGGTCTGATGTCAGGTCTTGCGCAACTCTCCTAGAAACTTGGCATTCCGGTATGCAATGCTGCTCTTCCATCCATCGGAGCACGGAGAGGAAACATGAGACCCCGGCCAGCTTCCCGCAAAGGGCAATCTCTTTACGGGGATACATTAGTCACGAATGCGAAGGTGGCGGCGCTCGGCAACACATATCACGGAGAGCACGTCGAGAAAGCGATAAACAATGACGCCAGACCTTACAGAAGACCAAAAAGAAAAACAGCACTTGAAAAAAAAAGAAGGCTTATCAGCTGGTGGCTACGGCAAATTCGACTCCTTAAACAATCGCTCAGTATATTTCCTTATTGTGAGTCCCCATTCGTAAAATCAGGATCAAGTCCGACGTGCGGCACAAAGTTAAAACAAGTGCAACGGCTAGCGATAGGATCTAAAATGCGCAAACGGCGACCAGACAGTACACGCCACGCTGTGCACGCCTACCGCGCATTGGTTAATGGTGGGGGATATATCGCGCGCGGCAGGTGATAGAGAAAATTAAATCTCTCCAGTGTCGTTTTGACCTCCGACTCGCTGCTTGCTAGTCCGCAAGGTCTGTACTGCCTGGTCACTGTTTGCGCATTCTAGCTCATATTCGTTAGCCACTGCACTGGCTGCCTCTTTTTTATAGCGCAGGACCTGGGCTCCCGTTCCCGCATATAGCAGCGTCGACGACGGCGTCACCGCTGGCGTAACCTGTATTTGCGGGAACGGGCCCCTAAGAGTCCCATAATGCAACACTGCGCGCCTTGCGTTATGGGACGTCACAAACCGATACACCAGTTCGATTCCCCACTAAATGTAGCGGAGAAACAGAATCGGTGTGTAGGTCTGTGACTTCCCATGCAATGAAACATTGCGCGCGTTGTATTATGGGACGTCATAGGCCGCGGCTTCACAAATGCGGGTTCACGTCTCTCGGCGGCCCAAAACAGGGACCCCACCGTATCCTCCTCCTTCTCTCTCCCCTACCCTCAAACAAAGGCATTCGAAAAATTTATATATCAATTGATTGATTAAATCTTTTTATTTGAAAGATGGCTCGATGGCCTAGTTAAAGAAAAGGGTAGGGGAAAATTACATTCGGCAGTCAACGTCGGCGGCGCGTGCAAACGCCCACAACGAATGAAGCATGTCCTTGGCACGGGCAGCGTTTTCGGGTGATATCTACTCTTCCAGACTATGAAGGATCAGGGTGACATGCGGAGCGCGAACTTGTTGCATGTCAATACTTCTATAGAAGGTGGTGGATTGTCGCGGTCTGGCTTTTGTGTTGCACGAGGAACGGGTAACCAGTGGTGTGAGTGTCGAGGAGGCCTGATCTCCTTCGTCGTCATTGTGGTCTAGGACGGGAGGTCGACCTCTCTTGCGGGTGTAGTTCCTTCATTTAGCGAGGATATCCTCGGTATAAGCCGCTTCGGCGCTAGCCTTGTGAATGAGGATCTGCGCGCCTCGCGCAAGTCTTTGAGGTAGGAATGCACGGTTGACTGGGGTGTTCTCGAGCAGTCGACGTCGGTCCGTCTGGCCGGCCGCAGCCTTCTGCTCGACAGGGTCGGGGTTCGATGGTGCGATTGGGATTGGGATGTCCGGGTCTGAGCGGATGACGTCTTGCTGGCTCGCACACGCATGCGCGGCCTCGTTGTCACGGCCGCCTGCATTTCCCGGTATTTGGTCGACTCGTTCGTCCATTCTCTTGGTGGTGGGGAGTTCGGCGCAGAGGCCTTTGATCCTATGACAGAGCCCTCCTGTCTTTCCTAGTCTAGTGAGTGCTTCGCGACAATCTGTAGAGATGATGATGCGGGTGTGTGATCCTGCTCCGGTCGAGGTTTGGAGAAGTTGGAATAGGGGGCACCATGAAAAGAACAACACACCAATAAACAGCACGCGACACAACATCACGGTCAAAACAGGACAGCGTCAAAGCGGCACAACGACAGAAGTGCACGTGCCAAAACAGCACGGCGTCAAAATAGCACAAACACAAAACAACACTGCGTGAAAAGGCGCAGCAACAGAAGAGAACGGCGTCAGAACAGCACCTCAAGAAAACAGCACAGCGACAAAGTAGGACATTACCGATATAGCCAGGGTTTGGTGTTTTCGGTTTTTATTTTGTTTTAGATTTGGCGTTCTTTTGGGGTTTTTATTCCAAACAAAAGTTTTCGGTATATTGCGGTAAACATTTGTAGGCTCCTAAACTTCTCGGTTCTTTTCGGTTTATTGAGGAAAGCCAGCATACTGACGAAAATGCAACATTTAAAAGCGTACGTTTAAAATGTATAGTGACTAAACTAGGTACTGGTTTTCTTATTTGTTGCTGCCTGTGGCAGCCCACGCGACCTGTTCTGCAAGGCGCACTGGGGCCCTATCGTGATCTGACATTATCGCCGTGTGCTCGTGTTTGTACACAGGACCAACACGAGCTTCACTACCACTTCGGTCGGAGAAGCAAAGATTAAAATCCAGAAATTTGCAAGCATTGCACTCAGTGCGTTTTTTCCCCCCTTTTTCACGACTGCCAGAGGTGGCAAATTCGCGCCGACTACAAAAACGGCAAAAAAAACAACAACAACAAAAAAAAAAAACGTATTTATGCATTCCTGTAGTAGATGGAAGCTATGGCTGTTAAAAAATGTGTGGCATTTACGGACGCCCTTGATTTTCATTGTTCAGCTCACAAAACAAGCACTTGTTTTTAACCAAGAATTCGGCACACAAATCTCTATGAAGTGAAAACCCCAAATTTAGTCCTGTGCACCCCGTGTCCCGGGAGGTTTTGTTGGAAGTCGAACCGATGTCCGAGACAAGCTGAAACTGCAATGTAAGTAGTCATACGCTCAGCAATGAGTCACACCCCTCCCCCTTCCAAACACCATCGAAAATACTAACCTTTTTTAGTTAAAACCGTATTTGGAAACATGAATCTGCGGTACTTTTACCAGTTTTATTCAGTTTAAGTCGAAAACGCTGAACCTTAAATATAGCGTATGGAGTTCAAAAATGCATGGCTCAAAGTACGCACTGTAAAGGAGTGGAGGGTCTTGAACAATTCGTCGAAAGCCAACTCTTCCTCGACGGCCAATTTGTAGAATCCGTTCTCTTGGGAGCAAGTTCGGAGTGGGAAGTATACTCGATGCGTAAATGAAGGCTCCGTGGGCAGTACCGAAGCCCCGCTGGTGCGTATTTTGGCTATTTCTCGAGCAGTTTTGCTAATTTTGACGCGCAAGATTGCTGGTGATGTTGTCTGCTATAAATCAATCAATCACAAGGCAATGTGTTGTGTCAGTTGTTAAAAGAAAAAAAACAGAAAGCGTATGCGGAAACGGTGGGTTCAGCCCATGCTGCACGGCAACAGCGTTGAGACTGTGGCATGTTTCTGCTTCACCGGTTTCCACTCGATCGAGGCCCTTCGTTGGCAATAATCTCTGAATTTAACTCAAAACATCTTCTCGCCTTCAAGCTGCAGCCGCAAGTTTCCGGGACATGTTATTCACGGCGAATGAACCCCGCAGAATCGGCGCCCATGGTACACCATGAATACGCTCGATATTAAAGTTACCACATCTTACCGGTTCTATCAATGCATATGTAGTCGGCGCATCTCCCGCTCTCTTTTTTTTCGGGGGGGGGGGGGGGGGGAGGGGGCGTTTTACGCCTGGTGGTTAGTACGAAACGACGAGTACTATGGACTATGGAACCTCACCGGACCGCCGCAAGCCAGACGGTTCATAACTTAAACTAATGGATTTGTTTTTCCCAATAGCTTTTCATCTCTCGCTGGTTCTACAAAAAATACCAGCCAACGCGACCAACATCGACGTGAAGACGTCACCTCTAACTTCCCAATCTCTTCAGAGATCAGCGTAGTTAAGTAGTAGTAACTACTGCTAAGTTTATTTGTTTTTAGCAATCACACAGCAGCAGCAATGGAGTGCGTTGCCGTAGCCGCCAACGTGCATTGTTTTTATTGTTTCTCCACTAGTTGTTAAATAATGCCATGCAATATCTAACCCGTTTCTTCTACGTTCTGTTTTGTTTTCACAAAACGCTACCTATTACAGGCTT